CATTTAAATATTTTTATTAAATGAAAACCATGTTTTTATTAAGGTTGAAATTATTATTTTTTGGTTGAAAATATTATTTTTTGATTGAATTTATTTTTTGTTTGATTGAAAAAAAATATTTTTGATTGAAATTATTTTTTTTTGATTGAAGATGCTTTTTGTTTGATTGAATAATAAAAACACAAATTTACCTCCATAGTAGTGGAGGAGAGTCATCTGCAACACAAACCCTCAGCTGACCGATTTTATCAATGTGAATCATGTTTTAATCTGATCAAATTAGCTATGATTTCATCATTTACCTACATAAAAAGATCTGTTTCATGTAAGGAGGTAGAGGATGTGTTTTCCATCGAGGAAGCAGCAGCAGCAGCTAGCTGTAGCATCCGGTGCACTTCCTRTAGAATTTTTTTCATAGTTCAGTGAAAATAACAGGATAATATAAAATTAGCAGCAGTTTTGAGGCTAATAAAATAGCATTTGGATGAACTGTTTTGTCATTTTGGCCTTTGGAGCTGTTTGAAGCTGATGGATCAAACCAAACTTAAAAGCAACAAGTTCTAACTTTCTGATCTTTAACCATTATCATCCCTAAACCTCACCTGACTCTTCCTCCTCCATGCTTCATCAGGGTGCCCCCCACTCTGTCCACGCGTCGTCCTCCACCTCACATCAACAAGAAATCATCGGCGTACGTCTCATGAGCCCTAAACAGAGTGTCTGTTTGGAGCTGGTGGGTGTGATGGCTCCATGTTGGTTGATTCTGTTAAGAGTTCTGTTGGGTGTTGTGCTGTGACCCGTAGCAGATCACCCAACTTCTGACTTTTTGTCCCACCTATAGATTGTTGCAGCCTACCTATAGTGTGGTTCTGTTTATTTAGATTTCAGAAATGGTCTAGTGAAACAAACAAGAAATTTGTCATAATAATTTTTTTATGTTTATTGAACACAAAAACATAATGACCTAGCCTGTCTTAGCTTATAGCTGGATTAGCTTCTAGAGCTAATTAGAGCTAGTGGTTAGCAGTAGTTAGAACAGGAAGTAAGTTGCTCAAATTAACAACTCATCCAGGCTAGGGATGCACGATATATCGGCACTAATATCGGTATCAGTCGATATTGGTAATTTTTTAGAATATCGGGACCGGTCTGATATGTAAAACTGGGCCGATATTGATTTCCCACTTTTTATCTTTGTGTTTGTGTTTTGGGAGGGGAGATGGTTGGTTGAGCAGCATCTGTTTGATCATGATAGTGATATTGATGTTGCACAGCCAGGAATAACTAAAGTAGAGAGTCATGTAAGAGGTCTGGTTGTTTATTTACTGTACCAAAAAAAAAAAGACCCGTGTGTTTGTGCGTATATGTATAATATAATTTGTGTGTTTGTGTAATATCGATAAATATCGGTTATCGGCCATAACAGCATTAATTATATTGGATATCGATATCGGCTGAAATTTTCATATCGGTGCATCCCTAATCGAGGACATGACGGTCCTAAGTGGTTCAAGAGAAGATAGCTGGACTTGTTCTCTGGATTCTTGAAGATGTCTCCCATCTTATCCAGAAGGCTTCTGAAGTCTTTGTTGAAAAGTGGTGCTGATATTTATGGACCGTGAGTGAATCAGTGTCCAGCTCCAAACTGTAGAGTTTCAGTCTCACATTGCTGTCCACAATGGTTTGGTTTCATCTCATATTTTCCATCAAGTRTAGAATATCCAACTGTAGGTTGGTGGAAACTGAAACACTTTTTAGAGCAGAGACAGCCAGCTGGAGCCAGGAGTCAAATCTTTCACTCTCAAAGTCTTCAGTGACTTATCTGATGCAGTGTTCATGAGGCTATCACCTTGACCTGGTGAAGACTTAGATCTGACTTGCTTTATGTGCATTTTATCCACAAATAGATTCCTGATTATCTCTTATGTAGTCACAGACTTGCACTTAGTGTACACTGTTTTCAGGTAAGGAGTTAGGAATCCCATGGAAGATTATTAAGAGTTTTGCAGTAGGTGTATATCAGTTTGATTCATTGCTAATTCATGTCATAAAGTACCTGACAGTTCACCTCCTTTCCCTCCATGTTCTGGTTAAAACTGTTAATGATGGGAGGATAAATTTGATTTTTAACAAATTCCTCTTTTCTTTCAGTTTCTTTACCTAAAGGAGTTTCTTCTAACAGGTAATCATTTTGTATTATTTAAGCTGAATATATATTTAAAACTCAGTCTAACTGGATGACCTTATTTTTGTGTTTTTAAAACAGCTCCAGCTTTGAATGGATCAGGAAGCCTCTTAGAGAACCACCGAACCTTTGTCATGTCCATCACTGAACCTTCGTCATGTCCATCACTGAACCTTCGTCATGTCCAACACTGAACCTTCGTCATGTCCAACACTGAACCTTCGTCATGTCCATCACTGAACCTTCGTCATGTCCATCACTGAACCTTCGTCATGTCCATCACTGAACCTTCGTCATGTCCATCACTGAACCTTCGTCATGTCCAACAC